CGTTTCAGTGCAGAAAGAAAAGAAAGAAAGATGGAAAGAAGGAAGGAAGGAAGGAAGGAAGAAAGGAAAGAGAAGAAATGCGTTAGTTTTCGTGTCAGATACACGTAAGACCCACCCTATATACGCAAAGTGCACGCTCTAGTTCTTATCACCTCGGGCTTTTATACAGCATGACGCATGGAAGGGTTCCACCCCCCCTTTCTTACCAGTCTTAGAATGTCCACCAGTAACACGTTTCTATGTGAGACACGAAAGCGGAATAAGCGGAGAAAGGAAATCGAATCGAATGCTTTACTTCTAATGGTCCCCCTCCCTCTCTCTCTCTCTCTCTCTTTCTCTATCTCTCTCAGTCACACTTGCCATTTACTCGACCTACTTCTTGCTTAAGAGTTAATTACCTAGAGAACGGTGATTACGAATCGGATTATTTTCTCACCGGAAAGATATTGATCGTTTACTCTTGTAATGATTTTTTTTTTATTTTTTTTTTTAAATGAAAACAAGAAAAAAAAAGAGATGACTGTAATACCTCGTTGTTTCTACATTTTCTTCTTCCTATTTTCTTGTTACATTATTATCGAAGAATATTGTTTGGAAAGTTTACGAGCATGAAAGATTTTGATCGAATTTCTTGAAATTAACATTTCTCAATATTGTAAAATATTAAATGCCGAGGGGGAGAAAAAAGTGGAGAAAACTTGGGGAGAGAAAAAGAAGAAAAAAAAAGATCAAACATTTTACAGTAGAATAGCTATCCTTAATCGAAAAGGATTTAACGAGATTACGTCTCGAGTAAAATCGAGTTTGTTCCTCGACATCGAGATTACAGCTTTCTTCTTCTTCTTCTTCTTCTTCTTCTTCTTCTTCTTCTCCTTCCTCTTCTTCTTCTTTTAGCATCACCATCTTGGTCTTCTTATTCTTATCTTCTTCCTCGAACGAGCATGAGTCACGTTTACTCGAACGGAGTCCCCTGAACTTCTCTACCGCCTCGTCATCCTCCTCAGGATTAACGACCCTGACCATTCGTTTTTCTCCATCGCAAACCGGAAAGCGATCCTTTAAGAAATCTCTTCTCACTCTATACTACGAGAAAAGAGAAAATAGAAAGAGAAAGAGAGAAGGAATATACTCTTCTGTCAGGTACCCATTGCGAACTCGTAAAACTTTTCTTCTCCCACGAATAATATAACCCCGGAAGGAGGAACCCTTCCACAAAATTACTTTCTCAACAAAGAATTGAATTTTGAAAAAAAAAAAGAAAAAAGATCGACAAGAGTTTCTTCTCTTCTCTTCTTTTATCTAAAACAATTCGATCACGAGATTTTCAACAATTCTGAATGTCAATACAAATATTTATATTTAACTCGAATGAGAAAATCTTGCAATATGATTATTCCCACGTGAAAGAAGAATATAAGTGAAAAGAAAGGACACTCACTTGGACACTTAATAACCAGTTAAATGCGTTTGACGTGTATATTCGTCGTTTTTTTACGAGGTTTAGGGGAGTACCATAAAAGGCCCTATTAAAGGGACACCCATTTTTGCGAATTAAAGAACTACACTTTTGTCACAGTCTTGTAAAAGCGTATCGGAATTTGATATATTTCATATTTTTCAATGGGACAAAGAAGATAGGGGAAAGATGAACAGTCAAAGTTAATTTGTCACTTTAGAAGAATATTAGCCTTGTCGATAGATCGAACAAGAATGAGTCATTCACGGGACTTGTCTACTTTCGCAAATAACGGAAGAAGAGACATCCGGCCCTTTCACCGTTAACTCTTTCCATTATTATTACTATTATTATTATTATTATTATTATTACAACTGTTTACTTTCCCAGCATTTGTTTTTTTGATAAATAATTAAATTGCGCGTGTGCATGCAGCACTTTTCTTTCGAGTATAAATATTTTATTGTAACACATATGAAAAAGGTTTCTTAATAGAAGCAATTCCATGAGTTATACACACACACATGCATGCACGCATGCACGCACGCACGCACAATACAGTTTTGAAATAGTTAGAAAGAAAAAAAAAATGATTCAGTTAACATATTCTAGTCTCTCAAAGAAGTAGCATTCATTCTTCAGAGGACAAAAAGGTTATCCATGCTAGAATAAGATTTAATCGTCCTGCCTATTCTCAATTTTGTCACAATACAAGTACAAAAGCTGCAGGAAATGACATCAGCAAAGAGAGAGAAAGAAAGAGAGAGAGAGAGAGAGACATGGAACGTGTCACAGTTTTGCTCTTGCAATGAGCTCCTCGTATGTACTTAACGTTTAGAAAAGTACGTCGAATAATTCGTATGTGGGTGATTCGTATGCGTGTGTATGTGCGCATCGTGTGTCGGTCGTTCGCAAAAGTCATTAGTTAACGGTAGGCCGCGCAAATATATCCTCGAGGACACGATCAATTGAAAGAGAAAAAAAAACGAGAAAGAGAGAAGGAGGGAGAAGGAGGGAGGGAGGGAGGAATTATACGAGGGTTGCATAGATGGCAATTTGTAACGAGGCTAGAGAAGTTTCAATTGCAAAACTGCGAGAGTGAGAGAGTGAGAGAGTGAGAGAGCGAGAGATTTCCATATTCACCAACCGGAGGAGGAGAATCTCGATTATCAGCATGATCATCTTTAACGAGGAAAAACTCGGTCTCATTGCCAACCAGAATTCATCTGTAAAAGTTCTCCCTAGATCATTTCAATATTCTATGAATACATGACCCAATAATTCTCTATTATTTCACCGATTATATTGAAAGAAAAAAAAAATTATACAAAATGTAACTAAATATCTAATATAAGATGGTATTATTGCAATGTTGTTATCCTTGCTAATTCTTATCACTCTGATAGAGATACTGCTGACACACATTTTTTTTGATTCGCTTCTCTACAGGATGAAACAAAAGTTACTCGACAAATTTTGAATATCATTCGAAAACTTTGGACACTGACCCATTTATGAAGATTTGAATACGCAGTTAGTTGTCAGTGATAAAAAGTTACATTGATAAATAATTATTTGTCGTCGTTTATGTAATATTAAATTTTTTGTTTGTTTCGTTAGCATGAAAATTGTATTCGCAAAGAGAATGAAAGGGAGAAGAGGGTGATGTTGTCGGAGGAGATACGTAGTTTAAACGATAATCATTTGTACGGATGATTATTATTACGTCACGTCCGTTCGATCCGCGTTGAACTTGATAAAGACTTGGAACAGCTGTTAGCGAGGAGAATATATAAGCCGCAAAGTGGATCACCCATGCTCGTCGTTCGCAAAAATGTGTCGCGATAGATAATCGTCCCACGTACTCTCACGACCCACTCTCTCTCTCTTTCTCTCCTCTCCCAGTCGTCTCGCGATGCAAAACTTGCTCTTGCGTAAATCCTATACGTATGCACGTCTATATGTTTCTCGGTTCGATGACCTTGCTCCTCTGCATCGTAATATAAACAATCGCCCTCGCATAAATTCTACTACGTTTGAGAAAACACACGCGTGTTTAAAGTTATTGCATTAGACGACGACAACAACAACACGACGACGACGACGACGACAACCAAATATGACGTATCAATTGTTTATACCTGAAGATTTATGTATCTTAAATCATAAATAATTGCAAATTTATGAAACAGTAATGCGAGTATTTTTTTCTCTTCTAGATTTGAATAACTCCTCGCTTACGTGTGTCAGGGTTTTTTTTTTATAATACGAAACGATTTGTAAAGGTGCCAGGATATTTCTCTCTGATTTTCCTTTTTTTTTTTATTTTTTTTTTTTTACTTTGCACAAAAATGAGAAGAAAAATTAGAGCACGAAATCAGCCAGGCAGGCAGGCAGGCATCCCTTCGCTCTTGGCCAACGTTACCTGCGGCCTAACGGTAATGAAGCTGCAATCTGCGGTGTCATCGCAATCTCTGCGACTTTTTTTTCATACTGCGGCTTACTGAACGTGTGTTCGAGAGAGAGAGAGAGAGAGAGAGAAAGAATAAAAGGGTGGGTAAACGTGTCCGTAGTGGAATGAGTTCTCGTTACTCTTGAAAAAAAAAATAAAAAAATAAAAAGAGTAAAAAGGGATATTTCGGAGCTTGGAGCAATGTAAAAAAAAAAAGAAAAAAAAAATACGAAAAGAAGGATAATACGAGTACCGAGGATACATTATATTTTTCCTTTATTTATTTATTTATTTATTTATTATTCCATGCAACATACCAACGCATTGATGTCTCGAGGGGGTGTGGTAGGGACGGTGGTAAGAGACCGCAAGCTTGGCTATCGTTTTTCTTGCGGTTTTAATAAAGTTCCAAAGGGGGGAATATTTTTCTCGTGTCTGTCGCGTAAGAATATATCTTCATGTAACTTTTGTAGAAAACTCGTAAGGGGTTAAGAATTTCATCGAGAATTACAAGAACGAAGGAGAAAATCATTTTTACTAATATCTTTTTTTGTTGTTGTTGCGTAGACATATGAAAGAAAAGGAAAATGATCGAAGAAGACAGTCGAGTTTAAGTTTACGGGGTGTGCTTCATACGGCAAGCAAGCCCTTAAGAAAGTTCGTCTCGGTCCTTCGGGCCATAATGCAGACTCTATAATTTCGCACTTTGTAATTACGATTATATTCCCTGGTGCTTCGTAAAAGTCGGATGAGAGAAAAGTCTCGTCCAATAGCTTCGGGCAATTCAACTCGATTCTAGGCAGAGAAATGAACCATCGAATCCATCTGCTTTTCCAACGATCCGTCTATCATCCAAAGACAACAATCTCCGACTGGGACAGCACAAACGAGAAAATAATAATGACGTCTGGTTATCGTTCCTTCCTATCTACTCTTTTTAAATCACCAACAACTTATTTCTAATTTTAAAAATGTATCCTCCTCCTTCCATTTGCATAGTAAATATTTCGAATAGAAATTCGATGGCGTAAGATGATATCGGATTTTAAGTTAAAAGCAATTAGAAAGGAAGAAAAAGAAAAGACGTGTTACCAGAATGCATTCCCCCATCGATGTCCGGTGCATCTTCGAAGAGGGAGGACTCGATGCAGACCGAGTTGTCCGCAGAAGGATCGGCCGTGACCTCGCGGTCACGATCCTTAGCTCTCTCGGTACCGACGACCGAAGAAGAAGAAGAAGAAGAAGAAGAAGAAGCAGCAGCAGCAGCAGCAGCAGCCACTGCGACGATCGAAGATGTACTACTATCGACGGAAGCATGTCTGTTGCCAGAACGAACCAAACAACTACCAGTTCGTGCTAATTTCGTACTGTGAGTCCTTCTTATCAAGAGATTCGTCAAAGTCGTATTACCGCTAGATTGTTTCTTTTCCTCCCCCTTACCGCTGTTACCAACACTAGCACCAGCACCTGCACTAGCAGCATCACTACCACCACCAGCACCACCACCATTGGAAGAACATTTGACGTTGACCACGTTATTGTTGTTGACCACGTTACTGCTGATCCTGTTATTATCATCAATCGTAGTACTCTCGTTCTCATCGTTTTTGCTCTTCTTCTTCCGTTTATTATTATCCTCTTCCTCAAGTTCAAAACAAGCAATCGTATTGTTCAAACGATTCTCTTTCTTTGCCGAATCCTTTCGACCGGTAAATCGATTCTGAAACCTCTCGATCGTTTTAAAGGACCTAGTCCTTTCTACCTTTTTCCTTTCTTCGTTCCCTGCGCTGCTTGATCGATCGTTAGATCCTTTGGCGCTTTCAAATATCCTTGTCAAAGACTGGACTTTGCCTCTGTAAGGTTCAGGTAAACCGTCGTCCGGTTTTCTACAGCTTGGTATGGACTCGTTGTTGCTCAGAGTTCTTGTAAGAATTACTTTTGGCACGGCAGAACTGACAATGTTAGACGTTGTCTTCGAATTACCAATTGGAAAAGTATTACATACGAACGACGACGATTTATTGTTCGTATTTTCTTGTTGTTTTCCATCTTGAGATTTGATTAAATTGTTCCCAGTTTTAGGAATTTTTGCTGCCGGTTGTCGAGATTCTCCCCCATCCAAAGAAACGTAAAAGGTCGATCGCCTTTTTGGCGATTCGCTTGAATTATCCATGTTCAACATGGCTATCACATCATCTCCTTCATTTTGGAACAATCAATTCGAATGAAAAACGACACATAATTCATATGTTTAAACAAAAATTAAAACCCTAAACGACTAGAGTTGTATCTGTGATTTATTCTTAAACACGTTCGGCCAACTTCGTGAGATCTTTCGGGCTTCGTAGTCATATAAGAGGCATGTCTTCCACGAGGACATTACGATTTAGAAAGTGAAAGATAGAGAGGTAGAGAATAAAAAGGCGCCCATCGATGGAAGCAGCATCTTCTTCTTCTTCTTCTTCTTCTTTCTCTATCTTCTTGCCTTATTCAAGTCACGACTCGTTTAAAGAAAAATTCCGATAGAGTGAAATTCACACGTAATAATATTTTTCTAACCAAAATTCCAATATGAATCATCGACTTTTATCTTTTTTACCTATGACACGATTATGATCAAGCTTTGACTCATACACACGTAAATATATTGATATATAGTGTTGTAAATAACTTTATCATTGAATAAACAACAATTGTTGATATTTCGAGAAAATAAAAATGTACGTTAAACCGAGTTATTCGGAGAGAAAATAAATTGCACACACGCGTATCACTTTTTGCACTATTGGAATACACACTGGAATAAAACTTGACTACTAACACGTTTGAAAGATACGAGAAGAAAATATATCTCAATGAGATAATGATCCTCACAGTCGAAGCGCTCGCGACTGTCTGCTCAAAGCGTTGCGTTTTAATCGGACAAAAACTGGCAGCGCCCCGCTCGGCCCTTCTTCGAAGCTTCGGAATTGTAGGGTCACGTGATCGTGCATGCGCCACTAACGCGGCATATACTACGCTTTGCTCAAGTTCCATATTTTGATGGACCAATCAAAACGTTACATTTTTGAACAATTATCAGCGGGATATTTAACATTAATTTTAATCAAAACTTTTCTTTCATGTTTTATATTTGATAATTAATAATAAGAAAGAATGAAATATTAAATATTATTAATACCAAACGTTAAACCTATTCCCTCGGATTTTCTAATTCTTTGTCAAAATTGTACTCTTATATTTTTCTAAAAGATCTATTCTAAATTTAGTAAGAGAAATAAAGTAAAAGAAAAATCATATCCTTTTCGTTGGCGCCAGTCTCACATTCGTCGCAAATGCGTAAGACGAAGCTGTTTTTCTTTTATGTTACGCTAGGGACGCACGAATGAATCGTGCGTGGAACGAGAAGTGCCTGTCGTCTAACGGAAGAAAAAAAAAGAAAAAAAAAGAAATAAAAAACAAAAGTAAAAAGGAAAGAAACAAAAAGAGTTAAAAAGAAAAACGTGACGAATATAAAAGATGAGGAGGAGTCTACTATCATTACAGCACGTTTTGACCATAACATTTAGGTACTTTAAAAGTTCCTAAAATTCCAATCCATTTGTAATTTATTCAAACATTTGTATAATTCGACAAGAATCCAAGAACCTAATGCAATTCTGATGAAACAACAGATATCTTACGTCACATTGTTTTCATTTCCAATGACTTATTAGGAAAGAATCAGCAACACCTTCTCGGTAAGACCACCTTCGAGAGAATCGATTCGATATTTCACCCTTCTGACTTATCCATCCTCTTGGTAACGCATCCTCACACACTTTGGCGATAAGACCGAGCGAGTTTTTTATTTCGTTTTCCCTCTTTTTTTTTTTTTTAATGCCTCTCTCTTTCTCATCGAGCGTCTCAAGAGCAGACTCAAAAAAAAAAAGGAGAGAGAGGGAAGATGCAACGTCTCTCGCCCACACGAAAGAGACTACAGCCTCCAAGCTTTTCTTCCCACGCGTCATTCCCTTAATGCTCATCCCTTTCTCCGTCTCTCTCTCTCTCTCTCTCTCTCNTTCAGAAATTGATCCATCATCGATCATGTCCCTTTCTCCGTCTCTCTCTCTCTCTCTCTCTCTCTCTCTCTCTCTCTCTCTAGCTCTTTTTCTTTTTCTTTTTCATTCTCTTTCCTCTTCTTTTCCCCTACGTTAATATCACTTCATCTCCGTGTTCCTTAATCTCGTCTCGTAAATCCGACACTCGTTTTCTGCAGACGCTGCGGGATGGCTCTAAATAAAGATGACCTAAACGTTAATTACTTAGTTTAATGATATTTCTCGAAAATGGCGTCGCAGGGGACTAATAAGAGAGAGAGAGAGAGAGAGAGAGAGACTTACTTAATACAACCCATACATACATATGTATGAAAGTAGGTGTGAATCTATGTCAAGTAGAAGCAACGATTCATGGATAATCTTCTTTTATGGATAATCGTTGTTGGTGAATATTCAGTGTTCAATAATTAGTATACTTCATCCATGTTATTACCATGTAATACTTAATTACGTTGACTTTGAATTTATGCTGAATAAAATGTGAATGAATTTTTTGTGTTTGTTTAAATTATGAATAAACTTTTGGTCCACCCTGTAGATACGAATATACGTGTATATAAATGTCGTCCATTCGAGAAGAATCGATAAGATCATCGACAGCTACGTTCAACGAACTCCGAACGTGCGTCGTTGTCGTCGTTGTCGTCGTCGTCGTCAATCGACTTATTTCTCTAAATTCCTGTCCGTGTTATGATTCATTCAACTGATTGAAAAAGAATTTCGTGATACATATATATATATATCTGTTTCCCTTTCAAATTCCATTCCCTTTCAAAATCGTTTTAACCTTGGCGATTTGATTTTTATGCAAATTCGACGATTACGAAATCGATTTGACTGTAACGATGATTTCCGAGAATGTTCAACAGGATGAAACGATGACTACCGATGCTTTGTAAGTAATTTAAAAAAAACCTCTTTTTACGTAATAAAAATGAAAATAAATAAAAAAAAAAAAAGAAATATCATTGATAAGAGAATGAACCATGATGAAAAAAAAAAAATCATGCACCGAGAGGCAGGCAGGCAGGATGAGAAACAGCTGTCGAGAAAGTTACATCAAAAGAAACGATAAAAGGGTTGTACTTGAAGGGAAGTGAATTAATTTACATACTCTAACAGGACATTGGTCAGCATGCTTATTTCGTATTTGAATCGATGACCACCGGACGAACGTGTGCCACCAGCTTACCGAGCAATGCAAAATTCGTGACCTCGAACAATACCAATACCATTTAGAGTTACACTTTCCAAAGGAGTCACAGAAAAGATTATTGTAATCGTTTGCACTTACTTCCCTCCCTCCCCCTCTCTCTCTCTCTCTAATTCTATTATCAAATGTTCTCTTTGTGCAATTTGATTTTTTTCTCATATTGTCATCATCATTCGACGACTTGTTCTTTCAATCGTTAAATTCACTATTATAATCAAATTTGCGATACAATAAAACAGGGCGGAGTAAAAGTTTGTAAAAAGTATAATTTAAAATTATTATTTTTTTTTTTAATAATAAAAAAAAAAGAGATGTTATATTTCAAAGAAATAATAGAGTATAATATATGTAAAATAATTTGATGATTATTTGAAATACTATGGTAAGAGTAATAAAGGGAAAACTCTATTGTACGATTTCAGAAAGGATACGAGAATCGATAAAATACCAGCAGTAATTTGCGTTCAAATCGATGAGAACAATAAGAAGCGTTCGAGTAATCCAGTAAGATAATTTCATATTCTTTCCTCGTACTTTACGAGTCTTTCTCGTGGATAATGGAAAAAAAAAAAAAATATAACAAACAAAAAATACACGTACCATGAACGCAAAGAAGACAGATGGCATTGCAAATATTTACGATAAAAAAAAAAAAAAAAAGTATAATATTAAAAAGTTGGACGGAAATTGTTGGCAAAGAAGAAAAATTCAACTATTAACCGTAGAAGAGCGAGATGAGAGAAAGATGAAAGAAACGCGGCTACTATAAACGAGTCAACAGCCTCTTCTTCTTCGTTCATTGTATTTGACTTCTTCTTTTTTCTCTTCAACTAATCGTTCTACGTCCTCGCAATTTCTACTCGACCCCACCATCTTTCTTTCTTGTTTTTTTTTTTTTTCCAAGCAGCTGTTGACTCTTTTTATTATTACTTTCTGTCACATCCTTTCTCGTTCTTAACTCGTAAAAAAAAAAAAAAGAGAAAGAAAAAATTCAGAAATAAAAATGGTCCGACAAAATTGAATTAACGAGTCTCCGATTCGTCGTAGAATAAAAAACAAAATAAAATAAAATTAATTAAAGTCATTAAAAGTTTCGTACGAACTGTGAATGAAAATGTCAAACGTTAACGAGGCAAAAACAAAAAGCAGAAAGGAAGAGACAACTGGAGATGCATGTGTAATTTGATTTCGACAGGCCAATGGCCAGGATGCTTGTAAAGTTTTACCCTCGTCTACGTTGGCCACTTGTCGTCAAGACTATCCCTCAGGATGTACGATCTTAGAATGTCGTTTGGATGCCTTTAATAGACCCGTGGCTCAGATTCTTCAAGTGCCACCTTTAAATTCGGATGCAAACAGTCAGAAGATGGGTCTATACGTTGAAGCTAAACATACACCAACTGGACCATATTCTAGGTAATTTTAAAAGCTCAAATATCCATGGATGACATCGTCAATAATTTTGTCTACGTTTAGGGTAACATCGTGTCCAGTCGAAGACACTTGCGAACAATCCAAAGACAACGTTCGCTTGCTACGAACCTACGCTTTGGAATCGGGACAAATTTCCAACGATGACAAATGTCCTGTTTCGAAAATTCTATTCGGACCAATGCGGGAAAATGTTCAAGTTTCTAACCATCGAGAAAGGTCTCCCGAATCATCTGAAATTCAAGTCGAATGTGTGCCAACGAAAAAAGAGGTAGAAGAATACGATCATCCAAATGTAACCCAAAGTCAAACAGAAATTCTAGAAAGTACGGCAAATCCAGAAGAATATATTTATCGATCTCCGCCAAACTGTGTGGCCACTTGTGCCGGTGCTGCTGACAAATTTCAACCACAATTTTGTGAACGTAGAAACGGTCTGGACCCAATCGCTTTGCAATCAAAGCTTCGTCCAACTTTTGTTGATCGATCAATAAAGAAACCAAATCGTATTTGTCCAGCAAGATGTTGCAAACCTTTAAAGAAATCATTGATAGAAGGAGAATGTAGAAAAGATAGTAGAATTATTCCAACAACTGTAGAATCCTCAGAATGTTCTACCATTCTAAGAAAATGTTCTAAAGACGCGTTTTCCTTATCCGCTTCGCAAGATTCTCTAGAACGTTATAAGGATTACATTTCAAAGAGCCAATTAGATAAATATCGAGCATGTCGATCAAAAAGGAATGGACTTCAGGACGAGTGCTTCCTTCCTATACCTCGAGCCCTTTTAGAACGTGACAAACAAGAACAGTGTCACAGTAAATTGGAGAGAAACGAAGACCAAATGATTCCAATGAAACGAGAAACTACTCAAACGTGTCAATTAGATCACACCATTTGTACTTAGACTCTGTGTATGTGTGTGTGTGTGTGTAATTAATTTGTACAAGAGTGTCTATTTATTATATTAAATAAAATATTATTAACTTGAATTGAATCGGTAATATTGTTGCATTTAAATATTAAAACATTAAGGATATTAATTTTCCATTATCCACCGTGCATGTGTTAAAAATAGAAATTTCATACTACAACGAAAGTTATACCGATTCCAATTTCACAGAATAGAATTGTAGAAAAAGTTTCACCATCGGAAAAGAAATCCCTGAGGTCAGAGGCATCCGGGGATAAGAGTTCGCAAAAGAGTTGTTCGACTAAGAGAAGAAAACGTCGTTTGAAGCGAGTGAAATCAAGAGAACTCTATGCGGGTCAAGTGTTCATCGACTGCGATTGTTATCATCGAAACGGTCTTCAACACGATTGTCCTCGTACTCTTTGCGGAGGTACACAAAATTTCATGAAAAATAAAAAACGTAGATTTATTATTATAAATACTAAATGAAACTTCAACAGGTGAACCTTGTGAAAAGTTGCCCTTACCAAAATGCGATCTAGGAAATTATTTCCTTGATAAGTGGAACTGTTACTACGACAAGTTGGACCGGTTAATGCCAACGGCGTTTTGTGGTTCTCAGCAACAATGGTTGGAGGAAATGCTCAAACGGGAAACTACGAATTCTACGAAAAATCATTAGTTCGTTCTAAACATTAAAATCACATTGAACGTTTCAAACTTGATAATGTAATAATATACAAATTTAATAAGCAAGCAAACGACGTTGAACGAGTTTGATGGAATAAAATATCAAAGATAATTAAGTTCTCTCTTTTACTTGATTTTATTTGACAAAAAATAAAGGTAAATGTGAAACTTGTGATGCAATAACAACGCCACTATAGTGAACGCATTAGAAGGAGACTCGTGCCGAGACAGGAAATAACGGAACGTGAACACGCGTGCCAGTCAACACGAGCAAAGAACTTCCGATATCCTTTAAAAGTAGCATTTACATTTATGATCTTTCATTCGGGGAATAAATATGCTGCTTCAATGAAAAAAGAAAAGATTGTCAGTCGCGTGTGTGCTTTGGGTATTTTAAACCTAAACGATTAGGATGACACGAATCGGAGCTATAAATTCTAAGAAAATATTTTTCAAATTTGTAATTATTTAAATTTAGGATCTTACGCATCCCTGATGCGAAAGTAAATGAACATTGAATGAAAGAGAGAATGGAGACGACGCTCGACTCAAGAAGAGTTCCAATGTGCAGCTAGATGCAAGTGAAACCATACGCCGAGCCACGCCCCTTTTCTTCAGAATAACAAGAAGAAAAGGAAATCTAAAGATAGAAGGAAAAGCTAAAGGAACTAGTCATGCGTCACTCGATGAAACACCTATCCCTTTCCCCCCTCTCCCCCCCCATTATGACAAATATCCCAAAGCTATTGAAACTTTTCCCATAAGCATAAAATTACATTAACTTCGTAAAATACACTTAAGAAACACAAGTATAAGAGGATATAAGTCGTTACACGATATTACTATTATTTCCTAACTAAAAAGCAAAGGTAACATTTGTTATTAATAACACATATGATTTGTAATATATTAAAATGACCCAACTAATTTTACGGAAAAAGAAAAAAGAAATATTTTCAGTATATTAATGGAATTTGTTTGGAAGTAATTTCTATGAGTCACGCGATCATAGTAAAAGCGTTAGAAACATTAGAATGGATAGAAGGAGAAAGAAAGAAAGAAAGAAAGAAAGAAAGAAAGAAGTAATAGGTTATAGAGTGGATTTGAAGTAGCAATTGATTTGCTTGCGTAAGAAGGAAAGAAAGACGAATAATAACAAGAGACGAAGAATACGGTATCAACTTGCACGGTCAACGATCGACACAACTTGGAAAGCCTTATACGAACGACCGTGATCTTCTCTACCACCTTGTAGGGGGTGGTGTACTGCCATTAATGGCGGATCGTACGAGTACACGCACGTATACATATACACAAAGAAAGATCGGATCGCAACGTTTTCTACCTGAGTCGAATGTATTATCGTATCGTTTCGAACGCACGACTGACGACGACGACGACGACGAAGACGACGAAGACAAAGACGACGATTTTTATCGTTTTTAGAAGAAACCTATAAGCTCTTTAAAAAAACATATTTTTATATATATATATATTTTTTTATTTTCTTTACAACATGCTAAATCTTCATAGTAGGATGTACACGTGTACATGATTTATACAGTCCTTTCGTCGACTTGAAAAGAATACAAAAGAAAGCCGTCTGTTTGATGCTTTTTCAAGAAAAGGATATTGTGGAACCCATCGTGTTTAGAAGAACGTTTCGATTGTTAGGATATAATGGGATGGATTAGCTCCTGCTGAGCTTTTCATTGATAAGTATAATAGTTTTTTGATTAACAAACACCTGGATTTGATTTACCTGAGAGGCGCCACGAATCGGAAAGTTTTGATTTATCGTTGGAGTCGTCGGTAGTCGAGAGATCTGTAATGTTTCGATTATCTATCGCGATAAAAATAATGTCGATAAGGATGGTTCCTTTATTACTACAAACCACGGAAGAATCTTTAGGAATTCTATCGATTAGGGATGATGATCGATCAAATGACGATATCGTTTATAATAAATATTTATTCAACAATGTGCATAAGAAAAATACAAAAAAAAAAAAAAATAAATAAAAAGAAAAATACAATGAAAGAAATTTATTCAATAAACTTAGTCATCGGTTTGGTACGAATAAAGAGAAACGCATAAACACGAATCGAAGGTTAAGAAGAATAAAAAAAAAAAAAAAAAACAAAAAGGCGTTCGTCGTGCATCGATTCTTAACTCCTTCATTAAGCTAATCGATCTTGAAAAGAAATGATTTGCTACCCACGGGATTCCAAGTTGGCGAACAACATGTATAATTGATTCCTCTTACTTTGTTAGGGCGTTCAAAGCGATAAACGACTCTCATTAACGAATACCATCATCGCCGATATTTAAAGCGCAAATTGAGTTAATGATATTCTCAATGAGAGATGCGTGCCTGATTGAAAATTGCAAATGGATGGATATAAAAGTGGGGGGAGTTCGTCTTGTTGTATTTCAGGTGCAACTTTGCCCAACGGTTTTAATAGTTGCATACATACATAAGTTGTTGCAGGTAAAAAAGGCATTGAAGTCTCTTCTAAAGTTTTTACTTACCACGGCCATAACGATCATACCGTTCGGCACGAGTGACTCTCGGTAAGGATTTGCTTTTCGACTCACCTGAAACGGAAAAGAAAAGAGAATCTTGCATTAGTACTAATAAAGGTACGATATATTTCCTCGTTAAAGAAAAAGAGATGGAGAAGAAGGAGAAGGATAAGAAAAAGCTAAAAAAGAAGGATTGAGAAATGTGACGGTTAAGAAGAAGAAGGATCGGGGGAGGAAGGGAGGAGGAGGACGAGAGGGAGGAGGTTGGTTCAGTTACACAATCCCGTTTCGCGACGGAACTTTTTCGCGGGACTGCTTTTTCACGGCATGGCGCAGGGAGTTTAATGGATGCTCCGACGACCATATCCGAGAGAACACGCTCCAATTCTCTTGCAACGTTTTACTTCGAGCGCCGCCTTACGAGCACTTTGGAACTACATTCCGCGTCTCTCCTCTCTTCTCTATCTCACTCTCTCTCTTTCTCTCTTAGTACCCCTATATACCCCGTTTAACTGTACATACATACGTTTTTAAATCTAGATGGATCGATTTAATCCACTTTTATTTTATTCCTTCATTTGATTTGTTTTTCGTTTCTATCGGTGCATCGGTATTAAAACGAACACGCGCGCGGTTAAGATTTTTACGATAAAATATATACATATGTGTAAAATAAAGAAAAAAATGACAACCCCTAGCGGACAAACAACAGCAAAGTGTAAATGGATAATTATTATTGCGAAGAATAATTTCTCGAACAGGTCGATGAAGTAGAGTCGCGTGTCTCTTATCCGTTAATCGTTTCTCTAGTATACGTGTAAGTACTACACGTATATACGTTTTTCAAGGACAAGTGCAGTTCCACGGTGGCGGAACGAGCGTGCATCTCGACCTTGAAAATAACGAGTACCTACTCTTCTTCTTCTTCTTCTTCTTCTTCTTCTATCTCTCTATTTGAACGACTTTCTCAACTAATTGC